TATATGGGTTTTTAAGTGTAAGACTTAGGCACGGGCAGAGCTGGAGCTGTATCTAGTGATGCCATGTAACCACTCACTGGCATTGTTTTACTTAATCGCTGTCATTGTTTCACTTGTCACGGTCACAACTGCATTTTTCACAGGTACTACTTAGTATTTCCTTGCAAGGCAGCCTTAAAAACACATTATTTATTTATTTATTTATTTATCTGTTTATTTATTTATTTTGCTTTAGACCCATACACAATGCACATGTTTTTCAACTAATCCTTTGTGCAGGCTCAACGGGCCACATTTTAAAATATATTTAATTTCCTGAATGTTAAAAACTGATTCCTCTTTTCTCTTTTTATCAGTGTCTTATCTATGGTACCAACGTTTCCTAAGTATTATGATCTGAATCCATACTAATCTATTTTCTTCTCGCTTATGGCTTTTATTAACATCATTAGGTCTACAGTAGAGGACCTATCCTTCTCTGGAAAAAAAGAAATCTAAAAAGAATTTCATTTAGAATTCATTTCCTATAGGTTAATGGAAAGCCGTAAGTATAAATGATGAAACAAAAACCCCTATGGACCCTATTTAATTCTTCTCCAATAGTGTAACTTTTGCCAAAAATGGTTTTATTTCTGGCCCACTTCACTTTTCCGATAACGCCTAAGACATCACCTCAGAGAGACTGCTCTAAGTATGTAGGTATGTGTTGAATCACAGTACACTACTTCTTTTAAAGACAGTAGAAATGCATGATCGTTAGTTTGATTTATTGCTTTTGGTTATTAGCGAGGTGTCAGGGTGGCCGAAGCCACGTGTGTTTTCTTCACTATCACAGCGGAGGCCAAAGGTGGGTTTTCCGCTGAGATGCCAGCCTCCAGGAGATGGAGGAGAGTCAAGCCCCGGCCCCACTAGCCGTTGCCTGAAGGAACATTGCTCCTCCTGCAGGGCAATCAGATCGCACAAAGAGTCTCATAGAGGCACGGCTTGTACCAGAAACAGACACAACCGGGTGGCTGAGGCATGGGATGTGGAGGCAGAGAGATAGAGGGGGCTGGAGGCGTGCACAGGACTCAGGCCCAGCAGTTCCTTTAAGCTAAGGTGAGGACACTGGGTCCACTCTAAGCTCTGCGCAGCTCGGCCACAGAAAAAGAAGGAGATCCCACCTTTTGCGACAGCAGGGATAGACCTTGGAGGTTGTTATGCTAAGTAAAAGAAGTCAGTCAGAGAAAGACAAATACTGTGTGATTTCACTTATATGTGGAGTCTAAAGAACAAAATAAACAAATAAATGAAATAGAAACAGACTCATAGACACAGAGAACAGACGGACAATTGCCGGAGGGGGGGGGTTGTATTGGGGTGAAAGAGGTGAAGGGGTTAAGAAGTACAGACTGGTAGTTAGTTGCAGAATAGTCACAGAGATACAAATTACAGCAAAGGAACTATAGTCATTAATAGCCTAATAATTGTATTTGGGACCAGGTGGGTACTTGAAATATTGTGGGGACCTCTGTGTAAAGTACATGACTGTCTAACCACTGTGTTGTACTCCTGAAACTAATACAAAATAATATTGAATGTTAACTGTAATTGAAGAAAAAGCACAATGTCAGAATAGGTTGGCTATCTGTCGTGTGATTTATTGGGAGATATTTGAGCATAAAAATATCCAGCATGCAAGTCTGCCAAATATACTTCTGAAATAATCTAAAAGATGATCTCATTAGTGTGAAAATATTTTGAAGTTGTAGATTTTTTGATAGGGTAAGGTAATGGCTCCGGATTCTAATTTCCTTAATCCCCAAACTTGTAATTGTATGAATTGAGCTGGTTACATTAGGACCTTAAGCCCTGGTTGCTCACTTCATAGATAGTACTGAATATTTCACTGAATAATATCAATATGATATAAAATTGAGACTGTACTTTTATAAGTGACATTCAGAACTGTTTTGGAAATTTTACCTACTGCTATCATTTTTTAAAACCACACCACTTCTCTTTCAAATGAGAGAAAGAAATGGAAAAATTAATTAATACAATATTCCAAAGTGATATATTAGTAACTTAGATAGATGGCATTGGGGAAAACTGTCACCTTGCCTAAGAGACAGCCTGGGCCAATGAATCTGCAGGCATTTCCCCATTTAATGGTCACAGGAACTGAGAAAGTTACATGATATACCTGTCTCCTCTTAAAATGAGGATATGAGTCAAAGGCAGGTTATGAAATCTGTCCAAGATCATCTGTTTAGGAAGTGATGGAATCAGAACTTGAACCCATAGAGTCCGGGGCCCAATCTCTTCATTCAGCTCCTCTTTAGTGAGAAATAATATATTTAGTAATCTTATCTATATATTATATGCTCATCAAATTTTATTTAATGAATATTTTTAATAGCTATCAATTACTAATAATTGATAGAAAATAGAGCACATATTTAATGTATACATGGGGATGAGTTTGGACATATGTTTGCACCCATGAAACCAGCACTGTGATCTTGGTAATAGGCCTATCAATCACCTGCTGGAGTTTCCTTGTGCCCTACTTCCACGTTTTGTGGTGAGAACAATGCCAAAAAGCAGAATAAGAGACTCAAAAGTCAACGCGTTAAAGTCTTTTTTCAATCATCAAAGGCTTTGTGCTATGGTCACTGACAAATACCTTTCCAGTCATCTGAAATAAAACATAAAGTGTATGTGCAAATGTAAAAAGAAACCAAAGGATTTAATAACTATGTGAGGATTAAATATCCACGTTTAAGCTTGATAAGAAACACTTCAGAACAGGAAGTACTATTCAAGCTCAAGGACTGAATGATTAAACCAGACTCAGTTTTGTTTACTCAGATGTGAAAAAAGACAGAGCTAATTGGTAGGCAGGATCTTAATGTACCATATTCTAATTATAGAGTCTTCAAACCACTAGTGAAATAAAAGTTAATGAAAGATTTTTAAAGACATTACAATTTTAAGGTACTGATTTATTTATAAAAATGGCAATGATAAATTTAATTTTAATATGCTGAAATAAGTTTTCCGTCTTCATTCTGGAATTTCAACTAAAAAGGGTAATTTGTTGCACAGTGAATAATGAATATATATGAGTATACATTATACATGATATTTGGTGTGCTTTTCATTAGAAGTTCCTTTTGTTCTCTTCTATTTTAATATTGGTCTTGGTTTACTAATTGTCAAAGAAATTTGGTCAATTATATGCTCGTTGCCCTCTGAATTATAGTAAATGAAGGGAACAATTGCTCCACATCAGCATTAATTAAAATATGCTTGGACATATACCAATCCTAACAAAATAATTGCAACCTTGAATCCATGCTATTGTAATAAGTATTATTGTAAGGAAGGAATTGGTTTGGTACCTCAACAGAACACTTGTTAAAATATGTTTTTTTCCCTATAATTGAAAGTGATATGCATTTAATATTATATAGTCATTTTTTTGTGAATAGATACTTATTTTATAAATTGTTGAAACAATGAAATTCATTAAGTTGATTAAATGGACGGTTCATAAAGAGACAGTTTATGATCTGAACTATATAAAAGTAGATGAAAAAATGGGAGGAATTAATTTCATGTACATAAATTGTATTTACACTAGAAAATCTTACTTGATAATAAAAACGGGTAAGCTTCCACAAAGACAGAGCTTTGTTATTTTGTAGATTAAGCTGCATATTTTAAGCATTTAAAAATTTATTGGTTATTAACTGCTATATCCTCGACCTAGCATTATTGCTATATTGAATAAGTACTGGATGTGCATACGGATCAGAAGCTTTTGCATTTACAAATTAATTCGTCTTTTGCTCTTTTATATGGAAAGCTGCCTTTAGTTTCTTGATGCAGCTTTGAAAGCTGCAGACTCTGCTCAGGGTCGTCTAGGTTGTGAGGACTCTTCCATCACAGGAGGAGAGCTGCGCTCTGCGAGAACCTGCCTGGGCCCTCGGAAGCTGATACTGACCGGCCACTAAAAAGATTGATTGAATAAATACATATATGTACATTTCATTACATGCACTTATCTCCCTCTCTGGACTATAAAATCTTTAAAGGCAAAGACAATGGGTTATTCAAAATATTTTATTTTTAGAACTTAACATATTCTATTAACCATAGCAGGAATCAATGCCTGTATTAGATGTCCTTGTGGCTGCAAGCAACAGAGAACTCAGGGGCCAGAGCCGGAATGAACACAGACAGGCATCTTTGCGCAGAGCGCGGAAACTGGGGGTGCGTTCTAGGTTCCTCGCAGAGCTCAGTCGACGAGCTCCTCATCTTTCCCTTCCAACGCTATCATTCAAAGTCGCAGCGGGCGGTCTTGCGCGCCCCCTTCCGGAGTCAGGTCTTCGTCCAGGCAGGAGGAAAGCAGAGGGAATGCCTTTCCCATTCTGATGTTTCCAAATTTTCGTAGGCAGGAAATTTCCCCAGCAGACGTCTCCTCCCATCTGATCCGATCAGCGGGCCTGCTTGCTTGAGACCAGTTAGTGGCCAGTGAAATGAGGTCACTGTGGGCCATTTAGACTAATTATGTTTTAGCCCCTGGGAAGGGGACCGGGCCCCGGGCTTATCCTCCCAGAGATCAATGCGTTGTGCATTTCACCTGAACAAATTGTGCTTTAGTTATTAGCAGGGGACCGGAGGAACATCGGGTAGTAAATGGACAATATGTGTTACAATAAATGTTACATGAATAGATTTCTAAAATGAGTAATTCATGCCATATGCTGTCCACAATTGCATCTTCAAATTTTTATTTGTATTTGTTTGGCAAGATTCAGTATGAGCAATTTCTGTTTCTTTGAGGATAATTACAAACGCATAAGTTCCTCTATGTTTTCCGTTATGCTGGAAAAGAAAATACTCAATATTGAAAAGATGCATTGTTTTCTTCCAGTATTTTAAATGTAAGTCTTGTTTTTGTAACTGCAATGGAAATTCAAAGTTAATTTTTTTTTTTTGTCTCTTCTTAGGCCTGAGAAGGTAAATATGAATTTAGATTCCATTTATCGGTTAATCGAGGAAACACAAATCTTCCGGATGCAGCCATCATCGGTTACACCACCTAGGGACATGGTGGCACCTGCCTCGGCACCCCGGGGCACCTGCGATTCCTGCTTGCCCCTCAGGGGTCCCCAGCCTCCTGCCGCCCCCCACTTCTGGGCTCCCTCAGGCCACCCGGGCGAGTGGGACATTTGTGAGGAGCTCCGCCTGCGGGAACTGGAAGAGGCCAAGGCCAGGGCCGCTCAGATGGAGAAGACCATGCGGTGGTGGTCGGACTGTACCGCCAACTGGAGGGAGAAGTGGAGCAAAGTGCGCGCCGAGAGGAACAGCGCCCGGGAGGAAGGGCGGCAGCTGCGCATGAAGCTGGAGATGACTGTGAAGGAACTGAGCGCCCTGAAGAAGCGACAAAGCTCGCCGCACCCGAAGGAGGCGTCGGACGCGCGCGCCACCCAGCACCAGACGCGCCCTAGTTTCATAGAAGTGTCCTGCGTACAAAGGGACCAATTTCGGATTGGCTTGCCAACGTGCAAGTCCACCAGGGAGTGTTTGGTAAAAGGAGAATTTCTGCCAAAGGAGAACACCGGTAGTATGGTAAGAGAAAAAAAGAAAAAAGAAAAAACAAACAAACAAAAAAACCAAAAAAGGCAAAGAGGAATCCAGCCATAATAGGCCTGTTACAATGCCTTATATGGCAGGGACTGGGTTTGGTGGCCATCGCTAAGTACCGCAGACTGGGTGGCTACTGCAACAGAAAGCTCTAGAGACCAGAAGTCTGACATCAAGATGTCAGCTGGGCTGGTGTATTGCGGGGCCTCTCTCTTTGGCTTAGAGGTGGCTGTCTCCTCCCTGTGTCTTTACGTGGTCTCTTTTCTGTACAGGCCTGTGTCCAAGATTTCTCTTCCTAAAGGAGGACCCTCATCGGACCCACCTTAATCACCTCACTTTAGCATAAGCACCTTGGAAAAGACCCTGCCTCTGAATACAGTCCCATTTTGAAGTACTAGGGCTTAGGACTTCTGCCTATAAATTTTGAGGAGACACAATTCAACCCGTATTAGTCCATAATCTTACAAGTTTTCTTAAAAAAATGTATCCAGCATTTTTTTTTACTGTGAAAAACAATATTTCGAGAGCTATCTCTCCATGTATCTTTGCTACATCAATAATATGAATTATCCATACAGTAGTCTGGACCTTTCTCAAGGTTTGGCACTTGGGTCTCACAATTCATTTCTGTAAAATGGGCCCCACAGGCAAATTCCTTTAGGGAATTCTCACTGCTCACTCTTAGAATTTCTTGGTATATTTACACTCTTGAAGTTGCTAAAAATTCTGCATGAAATTAACAGTTTAATAAACTTTACCTAATCTAGCAGTTCATACACTTATTTATTCACGAACCACTCTTCCCCCCTGGTAATTACTATTAACAACCCATAGGACATACTTTAGGAATTCATGTTATTTCTTTTCGTAGTATCAGTTTATCTTATTATCCCTTTCTTTGTAATGCCAGTTCTAAAAACATAAAACTGTTCTTGCGTAATTCCATCTAAAAATGTAAGCCTTTCCACGATATATGTAAGTTATGGAAGATAGAACATAAATTTCATTATAAATAAAAAATTAAAAAAGATCCCAACATTCCAATTAGGCTTATTAATTCCTCCAGGTTTGTATTACGTTAAAAAAAAAAAGTGACAAGCTAAGCTGTTAGTCTTGTTGTGTACATCTTTGGGAAAATGTTATGTAGTCTCAAAATTCCACTGTATTAATGCATGTATTTTAAGGTAGTGATGGAGATGAGGAAATATAGGCCACATAAATTACTCTGAATGTACAAATTATTTATATCTGTAAGTGATAGACACCACATTTGAGAATGTAAAAGATTCTCTTCGCATATATTTTGCTGAGAAATTCTCTGTATCTTGGGATTTTATCTGGAATATCTTTGTATCATCAGTGTCAAAACCACGTACATAGTTGGTATGTATTACAAGTTTGTTTATTTAGAAAAAAAGGAATTATTTAAAATTTCTTGTGGTAGTGAAATAAGTTTTGGCTATTGAAGAAGTTTCAATTAGTTGTTTTTATTTTGATCAGTTTTTTTGCTAAAACTGAACATACTCATCTATAAATGTCTTACTTGGTATGTTCCAAGGAGAACAACACATGTTTTATTTTATTGTTCCTCAAAATAATATACATAATAACCATTAATTTTTGAGAAAATGAAGAGATGAGTCATACTAATAAACTGACATTCATGTACTATTTTTAAAATAAATACTAAAAATGAAGTATTATTATGATTTTATTTGAAGCAAGATAAACTAGTAACTAGAGAAGAGAGGAGCTTATGAGAAGAGCCTATATTTTAAAGAAGCAGGAGAGTTGCAAATATTTAAATATACGTATGTAACAGCAGAAACAAAATACAGAGGTCAAGAATTTTAGATTGTTAGTGAGCAATTGTAATTATGAGATTTACATTAGATACAGAGAAACAAAAAAAAAGAACCCTTCTATTAATAGCATTTAACACAAAATATATACAAGGGATGATATATATGTGTATATATGAAAAATGTATATTAACAATACTTGTTTTTACTGATATTTCCAAATTTTCTACTGTGTGCTTTTCCACTTTTATAATTTCAAAACATATATTTTATAAGTCTTTGTGTGCGTATATGTACACTTTATAAATTTATACATAAAACCATGTAAACAAAAAAAAGATTTTTATTTAAATTTGGATATTAATTGAGATTTTATTTGAACTTGGCTTTATCTCACTGTAAACCCACAAATCAGGGCAAATTTAAGTTACAGACAAATCTGCACAGCATGAGTTGGGCGGAGGTTTGGAATTACGATGGAGGCGTTTGAGGCGCTGCGCTGCTCTGATCCATGAAGCCCGTGTATATTAAAGTGTCCCATTTAACTCCATTGGAGATTTAACCAGTGATCTAAAATATGGTTTGATACACAAGTCTATTAAAACATTCAGAGTTCCTTGACAATTCTTTTTACTCTGCTTGGCAAAGATGCCTAAAGATAATCAGCTGGCTTCACTTGGAAACTCTCAGCATGCTTTGTGACAAAATAAACTTTAAAGAGAAATTCGTAAACTCATTAAATAACTCTTTACAGCTGTTCAAGTTTATGCAGGGCTATTTTTAGCTATGATTAGAAAAAGAAAACCTAAACTAAAAGTTAAAGCAGACTTTTCGAGAAATGTATTTGATTGTAATAAGGTAGAACATAGGAAACAAATTAAGAATGCAAGTTACAGTTTGGCCGTTAACACTGGCCAAACTGAGAATGATTTAAAAAAGTGAAAACATGAATTTGACCCTGAATCGTATCATTTATTTCCTTCTAAAACCATAGGAATATTCTTCATGATTTTTCTACTAAGAAATTTAAACATTCAGCAGTAATAATTGCTCTATGTTTTTTTCCTTTCAGGAAGAAGGTTTGGTTCTGGACCCGTTAAGACCAAATGAGGAGATGAAGCTCCCTCTGGACTGTCCTGACTCATTCAAGAACGGTGGCTCCGCAAGTGGGGCCATAGTACCTGGACTAAGACACCCGGTGGTAACTCGGCCCCTGGAGAACGAAGTGCCTGAAATTTCAGCTTTGCAGGTGCATTTGGATGAGTTCCAAAAAATCTCAAGGAAAGAAAGAGAGTAAGCATGACAGTGATGGTCATCCCTTACAGTACAATGATGATCTCCCTTAACCAAGTTGGCTTTTCAAACTTCTTACAATTGCTAAGTCTAGCAAACGGGCCATTTGATAATGTCTTTTACCCGTGACTAGTCATCATGTTCTAGTATTTTAAAGATGAGTATGACATACTGCATTCATTTTTAAAAATTTGAAGAGTAATTTATAATTTATCAGTTTTTATTTTTTATTATAACCTTGTTCACATCATCTCTGGTAGATTCACCTTATTTGTTTTTGAATATTAATGTGTGTGATTAAAATAAGCAGTGTATTATCTATACAGTGAGTCAACAAAATGGCAATATATTAACAACAGACAAATCACAATTTTGTGAGATATTGATCACAGAAAAAGGTGCCTCACTCGACCATCTTCAGTGTAGAGGAAAGAGCACTAGACTTGAGGTTCTTGACCTGGGTATTCATCTCCGTTCTAATATATTCTAGCTAAATTGTACTTGGTTAGCCAATAGTATGCGATTTTGTCCTCTGTGGACAAAACTATGGATAGCAATGCTTCTGTTCCAGTTTTCTATTGTTTAGAAACAAAACTTCCCAAACAGCGGCTATTGAAACAACCATCCCCGTGAGTCTGTTCATGAATCTGGAGCATGGTTTTCCTACGTGTGGCATCAGATGGGACAGCGCAGGGGCTGAGGGCTGAATTCAGCTGAAGCCTCACTCCCTGAAATGTGGTGGCTGATCACAGTTCTCATCTCAGGCCACAGTGTGACACCTGCAGGTGGCTTGTCCCATCTGTATGGCTTCTTGGCTTCCTCACAGCATAGGGTTAGGTTGCAATGAACAGCCTGGGGGCAGAGAGAACTATATGGTGTTTTGATGACTTTGTCTCAAAGGTCACTTAGCATCACTTCTGTCATAGTTACTAGTGGAGACAGCCTCAAAGGCTGATGAGTTCAAGGAAGAGGGGCACCCTTGATGGCAGGAAGGTCAGAGCCAGGTTATACTAAGAGCATGGAGGATGCGACCACTGTGGCTGCCACCTTTGGGAACCGCAATCTGCCATTGTCTTCCTCACGGAATTCTTATGTGGATCCAACACAAATAAGGTCTGGGAGACTGACCACTGATCTGAATCACTCTATATGCTTTTTGTGTTCCTCTCTGAGGGGATATTCGTGGAATATTTGATGCACATTAAAATTAGTTCTTCACATTTGAAAGCATTTTCTTCCATCTCTTTAGCTATAAGACTCTAAATAAGAGAATAAAAAAAGCTGGGAGTAGTAGAATAACTAATATCTATATGTGTATATATATATACACACATATGAATATAATTATGTAATGATTTCAGTTAGGATGGTTTAAATGGATTGAAATAGTGATAAGTATGCACATAAACCTCTCACAAATACTGTATTTAACTTGCCATTCCTTTTCTGTCAACTAGAAGTTTCTTATTCATCCTTCAATATTTATTCATATACCATGAACTTCTTTTTTTAGATTCTTGGTCTCTACATCATTATATGAACAGATTGTGATAATACAAGCATCTTTGTATAGAATAAATATTGATTGTTCTACCATCTACTATAAATTTGTAATAGAGGCAATCAACATTAGTAGAAAAGGGAATAAAACGGAAGTAATTTTTAGGCCTGTGCCCATATTAACAGTATTATCTGAAACTGTGGGTCTCAGTCACATTTTAAACTCTGTGTTTGATTTCTTGAAGGATTTATCTTTTCAGTGGCTATAGACTTCTCCCAAACCTACTTGTGTTACTTCGCCACCCTAGTGAAATCAAAGCCACATGAAACTGCATTTCCTAGACATACATACCCTCAGGTGCAGCCTTAACGATACCCGTGCGCATCTTTGCTTTCTCCCTCACACACATGGACATGCGCATATATATTTGACTTCCCCGGAATAATTTAACCACCTCCATAGAAGTAAAGTCTCCAGTTCTCCAGGCCAATATACAAACCCTAGACAGGCCAAAGAATAAGGGGCGCGGAGGCCTTCAATCCCTCTTTGTCTTCTCACTCGCCCCCTTCAGGAGCCATCCCCCGGGTGCTGTATCTGAAGCATCATGAGCGTGTAATCCACAGGAGGCGATCACCGAGCCTTTTTTTCCCATCACGAGAATGTTTCCCAAGGATATAGCATATCCTGTTGCTATAAATCTGTCTAATCTTCTAAATTCCTCCTCCTGGAATCTCAGCAAGTGGGAGGCTGGAGATGAGACGATGTGAACATGGCTTTTCCTGTGTTCCCAGCTGGTGGGAAAATTCTCCCGACGGGAACACAGGAATCAGCCAAGAGGACAGGGAGTCATTTCTACCGGTTGTCGTTGACAAGGAACGCCTCATTGAACATGCTGAACTTTATCACATTATTTATACTCGCAACACTGTGCAGTTTTCTGTGTCTTTATCCAGTAACTGAGAATTTGCCAAAGCCTGTGTGCTTTTGGTGGTGAATTAGGAAAATCACTGCCAAGACCAATTCCAGAAGCTTTTCTTCTTATGTTTTCTACCAGAAATTTTATAGCTTCAGGTCTTTGGTCCAAGTCTTTAATTCATTTGAGTTAATGTTTCCGTACTTTTGCCCTTTTTCACTCTCCACTGCCTATGTTGTGTGTGAGCAGTTGCCCGCCTAATGAGACAGAGTCCATTTTTCTGCACAGACTACAAAAAAAGGCCAGTACTTGTTGACCGGGGTCTCCTCTCCAGTTAGGGTGCAGATGGCCAACCTGGGAGCAGGTCTGCAGAGGTGGCCACCTGACCTTAAGAGTAAATACTAATGCTCCAAGGAAGCGAGTACCCAGAATCTCTCCTGGTGAGGACCTCACTTCCTGAGGAAGCAGTCAGTGGCCTCTGGTCCGCATTGACACAGTCCTGTGTCTCCAGTTGGTGGCACTGAGGTCATGCTGTGCTACCTGTACCTTCTGGGGGCCTCAGTGGATACCCATGGAAAGATCTCAGTGGCTTTGTGTTTGTTATTTCTAACTTCCTGGGTCCCCATTTCCTTCTCTGATTCTCTTAGAGAGTCTTTGAACTGCTATTATCCCTTTTCTGCTTCAATGGGAAAGTATGAACACACTTGCTCATCAGTCACTTAACTGATACCAGGAGAGTGTACCTGCAACAGGCGGGGAAGGTGATGGGTGTGGTGGCCTCTTCACAGGACCAGCCTGGGCACAGGACTGAGCTGTGCTCCTCTGTGTGACATCTCCACGCCTTGCTCTCTGCCCTCCCAGGTGTCTCCAGGTTTAACAATATTCTCTAAATACCTCTTTCCTAATTAAATGAAGTGTGTATGGCTTTGACTCTTTGCTGGAAGGTGCTGAAAATGAAAGGAGCCAAAAGATGTAATAATAAATCGTTGGGAATGCAGTCAGGAACTGGCAAAGATGTTGATGGTTAAAAGTATGAGTATAGTTATACAAATTTTTATTAGTCATTGTTTAATACTTGGTTTAAATTTTGGACTAGTAGAAAAGTGGATATCTAAGTGTCAGTACAAGTTAATTATTTTTGTCTGGCAAAAACATTTTTTCAGGCCTTTCAGGAAATACTGATTAGATATGTTGCAATGAATTTTCACACCATTTATACATGATTAATACTTATTTCCAGGAATTTTCAGGTATTTTCATTCCTGAGGAGTATTTTATTTAATCTTCCTGTCTGATGTCCAATTTAATACTCAGTTATGATGGGATCATGATAGTTTCCAAAGGATCAAAGACTCCATAGAAATATGACTGTGCTTCCCATAAAAAGTTTGACTCTCCCTCTGTCTTTTAGATTCTGAAAATATTGCATATTTTAGCAGTCTGATTTAAAAAATTTATATTATCATGTTAAAATACTATATTTTTGCTAAGCTTTATCTTAATTTAGTTTGTTAAAAGAATTTGTGCATTAAATAGGCAATATTTCCAGGGTAAAACTACATTTTTTTCTTTGCCTTCTTGTAGTTCAAATGGTATGATGATAGTTTAAATTTAACTGTATAAATAATCAATTACGAAAATCTTTCCAAAATACAGAGTAAATTGATTAGGCCAGAAAATTAAGGATTTAAAGAGCGCCCTCTGCTGTATGACTTGTGTGCAGGGTCCTTCATGCTCACATGCTCCTTCGCACAGAGTTGCAGGGTATTTTTGATGAGGCCACATGAAACATATTCGGGTATCACATTGCCAGTAATTTTGATGAATTACCTGTCCTCTCACTTCTCTGTCTAAATTTTACCTTTCTACACAATAAAAACATAAAATTTTCTTTCAGTGCACTAACAATCACGAGTTATTTTATTCAAGATATATATGAAGAATAAATATATTTAAGTATTACTAATTTACTTTAAATAAGGAATGAGAATAGTTATTCATTTTATATACTTTGACAACATTATTTTTATTTTATGAACTAACAGAATAATGCTAAGTCTAGATATAAAATCTAGATATATTTGTATCTTTAGAATATATCTATATTTATATGGAACTAAGTTTAAAAGTTTAATAAATATATCTATTGAAATTTTTTTCCCAATTTACAACATGCTACGAAGAATAGATACCCCAGTAATTTTGATGCCCTTTTTGAAGACTGGCATTTATTCTACAATAATAATAAATTATTTTGATGCTAATGTGTGCTTTTAGCTAACATTATAATTTAATTTATAAAAGAATAATGTTAAAATCTGGCATTGATTCTTCAACATGTATGATTTTGAACTTGTTAATTTAAAAATCTAAACTTTTCTCCAGTTTTCAAGTCCAAGTTTTTACTATTCTATTTATGAATAAAAATTATCAATATTATTTTTAATAAGAAAATTTATCAATATAGGATTCAATAGAGAGATGTAATTAATATCCTTTAATAAAGATTGTTAATATTTTTTATACACACTTTCTTTTTTTAAACTTTTTTTAATTCCTGAGGAAAAACATTTTCATGTTCTACTTCTGTAACTCCAATAAATTAAAATACAGGAGAAAGCAGGCAGAAAGTCAATTATTTCAATACTGGCAAAGCTAAATAAAATATGTTTAACTGACTGTAAAGCTAATTGACAGAATAACAAATTAAACCAAGTTTAATTCAATATTTAGAATTTTTAATAAACTAAAAAAGGTCTTCTGTCATTACAATAATCATATAAAAATTAAGAAAAGAACACATTTAACTTTGAATGCATTCCTAAAATTATTTTTTAAATTGAAAGCCTGTTTTGCTTTTAATTCTTTGTTTAGAATGCACTCCTCTCTGGAAAAAGAAATAGGACGCCTGGAGTCTGCTGTGTCTTTATGGAAACGGAAGTATGAAGAGCTGAAAGAATCAATGTTCAAAAATAGAAGCGAGGTAAGGAGACTTAGGACCTGAAGGAGGAAATGCGATGGAGGGTCCCCTCTGGGCCATGGGTGGCCCAGGGGGCAGGAGGCCCCCCAGACCAGGGTGAAGGAAGTTGAAAGTGGGATTTCTCCACGAGAGGAATAGTGGAACTCGTCTGTCACTAGGGAGTCTGTCCAACTCAGGCCGTAAGAAACCTAATTCTAAATAACACATATTTTTATGATCAACTACGCAGCACAATCAGCTACTCATTTTGGGTACACGTGAGGGGACTGCTGAAGGTGTCATTGTATCACAACATCTGTATTAAATAATTTTATCTTAACCTTTTATAAAGTGGTCTGAAAATAGCAGTATATCTCAAGAGCGTTTAGGTTCTTTACATTTTGGCATTATCGTAATTCAAGATCAGCCACTTGCCTCTATATTTTTCCTTTGCATTTTCAACAATGAAACTCCCCCATGAATCCTTGGCATTTCAATAATTTTAATATTCATTATTAAACAATATTAACAGTACATATTCTGTACACTAAATCATTGAGCTAGGCAGCTCTGTGGGATAGAATAATGAGCAAAGTAAAGAAAAATACTGTCCTGGCTGGTGTGGCTCAGTGGATTGAGCATTGGCTTGAGAACCAAAGGGTTGCTGGTTCAATTCCCAGTCAGGGCACAAGCCTGGGTTACGGGCCAGGTCCACAGTTGGGGGCATATGAGAGGCAACCACACATTGATGTTTCTCTCCCTCTCTCCCCTCTCTAAAAATAAATAAATGAAATCTTTACAAAAGAAAAACTGAGCAAAAGTCATGACAAGCTAAATACTCTTGAATGACTCAACATTAGCAGATGCATGTCCATGTATATGTTTATGTAGATATATGCGCACGCACACACACACACACACTCCACAAGGAAGGAAGCCGACAGCTGTCTAAAAAAGCCGAGTAACTAAGTCAATTATGTAATTGTGCCTTAATCTAAAGCACTCTCCATTAGTTGTTAAAAAAGCAATATTCCTCTTTGGTTATGACATCCCATATGGATGTTGCTTCATGGTTGTTTGAAGCAAGCAATAACGTTTAGAGTTATTAATCTAAGTTTGGCTAATTCACATGATGGAACGGTTGGGAACCTTGGCTGCCTTACTTCTGGACAAGACACAGGCACCCCGAGGGCCAGGGCACATGGTGATCACGGTAATGGCGGTGCATGGGGTCAGAAACCCTCTGCTTTGTGGTCCTGAGGACCCCTGAGAGTTGAAGGAAGGGAGAACTTCTCCTAATACTCTTAACAAGCATCTCCTGAGTAGAAACATTTTATAATGGAAGTAATTTCCATGCGAACCACACAAAGTTAGTTTGAAAACATTTCTCCATGAGGGGTAAATTAAACAATTAAAACGAACAAGCTAGATTCAGTTTATTTCCCCTTAATGGATTTATGTTAGACTGTCGGGGTGGCTTTGTTTCTAGCTTAAACCTTGGATGTACACAGACGTACATTTCCACGCGGACCCACAGCCTTTATATTCACAGGGAGGTAACTGAACGCAATGTCTCTGGTGCACATTGATGGTAAATTACTTTTATACAGGAAAAATAGCCTACACACAAAAATCATGTTATTCTTCGAGTGTGCTCAGATGCGTATTTGCCTTGTCCTATAATGGGTTCTAAATGTAATTGAGAAAGCTAATAGGTAAGGAATTTAATTTTTTAAAAAATGGACTTTAATTTTAAAAGACACATGTATTTACTGTGTGTTGCCACTAGTAGGCAGTACAGACTTGATAATGTTAGTTTCCTAACTGCTTCTTTTTATACAAGTAATTTAACATTTATGTAGCAACTGTTTTTGAAAAAGTCATGTTTTTGAGTTGGCTTACAAACTGATATGTATATTTTAAAATGTTTAATTTTTTTCTATTCAAAGATGCTCTTTTGGACATGAAGTAGGAAAATGTGTATTTTGAGTTGCATAACAAAGCTTTGAGAAAAAATTTGAGAAGATGAGAAAAAAGTAAAACTAATGTAGTATTTTACAGGATAAATTTGGTTTATATTTTGATGCCAAAACAAATATATTAATACATAGCCTCAAAATTTCTGTGGTTCTGTGGAAATTTTGTTTAACTAGTTAAACTTTTGAGTGTATGTTTTAGTTAGATGAACTAGGAGTTTGAGCAATGAATGAAAGTGACAGTTAATGAAGAAAGGTTTTGCTGTAGGTGATGGAAAGTTCATTGAAACTGAGGTAAAGAAAAATATTGCTAGAATTATTTACATGTGTATTATTTTAAAATATCCCTTTCCGCTTTCTAAAAAGGAATTCCTGATATTCTTAGGACTGTTTTTAAAGAGGTCTGGTATGCACATATATTTAAATTGTTTTTATAAAATGTTATAAAATTTAAAAAAACATTTAAAAACTGAATACATAAAAATATTTAGTCACATGTAATTATTTATATATACTTTAATTGTTTTATAATAGATGATAATAAAACAAGATTTTTATGGTACATTTAGAAATGCCATTTTAGAATAATTAGGATAATTAAAGGTGTAAAATATTCAAAGTTCCTGTGCAGCAGATTTACAATCAACAACTGTGTCAACATCCTTTGTATCAGAATTCTTATGAATTCTTTTTACTTCATTTCTCAAAAATTCTGAAAATGACCTTCGCTTTCACTGCAGCTCTTCAATTACTGTACAAAAAATTTTGAATACAGTGTAATTCTTTTAGAATGCTGAAACTGTTACAAGCAAAAACATGCCTGGCTAGGGACTGCTGATGGAAAGATTAGTGATTTTTAGAGTTGGAAACAGATGTGCTCAATAGACCAAGATTTTAAAAAATGTATTTGAAAGTCTGGTGTACTTTAGAGGGAATAATTCTTAAATCACTGATATTTAGAGAAGAGTAAATATAAGAATTTAATTTTAGAATCTAATAAGTATTTAAAATGCAACCTAGCCAATGAGTAGTAGAGATGATTACATTCAAAATGATATTCCCATGCTGAATTTAATACTTATGATGCTTTTTCTTTACGAGTTTGTAAATATTGATTTGGAATTAGATCATGAGTTCTAAGTGTGCTGAAATGATCATTTTTATGAAATCTCATGATCTAGAAAATCATGTGTGCATCTAAGAGATAATGATTATAAATAATTTTTGTACCTTGCTGTAACAATAAATGACTGATTCTTTCCCATATGTGGAGAATAATGCTAACATTTAAAAATTAATGTCAAGCTGGAAAATGAAATGTACCTTTTTAATCTTCTTTGGAAATATGGGGCTTTTACCTGGCATCTTTTTAAGGATGTTATTAAGAAATCTTATTTTTGTGATAATAACAGTGTTTCCAGTAGTTTGCAATGTACAGTGTTCTTTTATAAAATTTTGTAGTAAGTACCTAAGAGACATAGGCTTGGTGGGGCCCCATTGTGTACTAAGTGTGGACACTGAAGCCTCGTCTTAAGGACACGTCAATGTACCTTTCCCATTTGGGGGAAATAAGGAGGTCAGACATCTGAGTTGTGTGTAGCTAAACTTGTACACAAATACCTTCACTTTGAAAAAGATTTTGTCTTATAGGAGATACCCTACATATGTCAAGGGAGGGTCCTGGAAGGTACGTGATGTTTCCCTTTCCCCTCCAACTCCCTTTTACTAGTGAGGGGTGGGGGTTAGGGACACCCCTCAGCGTTCCCTCCCAGAGACCCCTTCACATTCACCAGCAAATCATCCAACTGCCCGCCGCGAAGGCCCCAGGGAGGCGCTCTGCGTCTCAGTCCAGCAGAGCGCGGTTCTGCCGCCTGCTGCCTCCCGGTGCCTCCCTGGCCCGCTGTGAGGCGTCCTCCCTGTGCACACTGCCCTCCAGTTATTAAAGTCCCCACTGTCCTGAGCTGCTGACTGGATAGACAGGAAAAGGCCTTTTGAAGACCAGTAACAGCACCAGCTCGGGGGCACCACCTTAGAGAGATGGGACACATTCTCCAGAGGCGTGTAAATGCTATAATAAGCACCTAATATAACGATGTCCTTCTTCAATACCCAGGACTCATGGGTAAATAATCTTTTAATGCAGTTGTACTGAATTAGCATAATCCATTAGATCTACCTGAAAACAAATTTTTGAGAAGATTTTATGTATTTATTTTTAGAGGGGGGGAGGGAGGGAGAAAGAAAGGGAGAGAAACATAAATATGTGGTTGTCTCTTGAACTCCCCCTGCTGGGGACCTGGCCCGCAACCCAGGCTTGTGCCCTGACTGGGAATCAAACCAGCGACCATTTGGTTTGCAGGCCGATGCTCAACCCACTGAGCCACAACAGCCAGGACCTATAAATTTTTTTAAAATACATATGTCCAGGTCTTTCTTTGGAGATTTTTGACTTAATCTATTAGGAATGCTTCTCCTAGAACTGCGTTTTTACAGGCTCATTATTCTGATATGCTTTGTAAATTGAGATCTGCTTCTCTGAAGCATCAGATGGAAGCTGGGGGTCAGGGGACAGGATCCAGGGAGAGCCCCTATGCAGTGTGGTCATTAATTTTATGTGTCCACTTGAGTGGGTCATGAACGAAGTGCCCAGATATTTGATCAAACATTATTCTGCATCTGTTTGTGAGGGTGTTTTCAGATGAGATTAATATTCAAATCAGTAGACTGAGTACAGCAGATTGCCCTTTCTAGTGTGTGTGTCAGGGGGAGTCTCATTTCACCCATTGGAGCCTGACTAGAACAAAAAATCTGACTCTTGCACAAGGAAGAGGGGGTTCCTCCTGCCTCACTGTCTTCCAGCTGGGGCACCGTGTTTTATCTTCCTTTGGACTTGAACTGAAAAGTCAGCTCTTCCTGGGTCTTGAGCCTGTGGTACTCAAGCTAGAACTATCTCAGCAGCTTTTCTGGCTCTCAGGTCTTTTAACTGGGATTAGAATTTACATCCCTGGCTCTCCTGGGTTTCCAGTTTCTGGGCTGCAGATCTTGGGA